TTAATTTGAGCCCTTGTGAGGTGGAAAGCTTTAGTTTTTGATTTCGTAATCCAGTGATGACGAGATTGATCTTGAATTGATGATTTTCAATGGCAGCTTCGCGCAAGAAAAAATCGATTAATTAAATGGTCTGTGTTAGTTTAGTTTTGAACGTGTAGTGACAAAAATGGCAAGGAACTAATTTTAGTTCAACACCGGTCAAAACGGAGAAATCTTTTATGACATGAGGTAGAAAATAGTCAAGAAGCCAACAATCGTGTACATGGACCAGCGTGAAAAAAAAAAAGGACGGGTTAAAAATTAAGGGATAAAATTCACCTTTCCTGACTGAAAAGTATGTTTTTGATTTCATTAGGCAATTTCTGAAATACACTCTTGACATATGTTATACTTACATTCACTAAATACAGTGTATATTTTTAGACATTTGTGGTTTAATTTTTTTTCTTCTTTCGCATTGCGACTATTTGACATGATGAAATTTAAAAACTTTGTCTAAGTTTTTATTTTATTTTTTTTTTTAATCTTTGTGTCTATCATTTACGTGTGATTATTAGATATTTGGGAATTTTAACCTGTTTAAAATTTGATATTGGTCCACGTGGGGTTTGGAACTTATTGCTCGCTGTGTCTTAGGATATTTGCCATTTGACAGCAAGGAGGAATAAAGGCGTCGCTTATGTAAACAACTTTTAAGTTTTTTTTTGGTTTTTTTTTAAAGTATAAAAAAAAATCAGGTATATTTTTTAAAGGGGGGTCAATGTTTGTGAATTCTTTCGAACAAAGGGTAATACCTTAAATTTAAAAAACAAATATAAGAAGACAATCGTCATAATTTCAGATCTCACAAGCTATTGAAAATGTTTCAAAGTGAGATCGATTTTTTTTTGTAGAGCGTTTTTTTTATAGAAACATACTTTTCCAAAAAATAGTGGATCAGTATAGTACACTTTATGTGCCTCCACTGAATTTTCGATACCTAAGATTTAAAATGATTTTTTAAAAATGAAAAAGAATTCTTGAAGATTTCATTATTATTATTATTATTATTATTTTTTTTTTAGCTTTAATTGAAAGGTAAATGTTTAAATTTACTATTTCCAGTAAGTAAAATATTCTGGTGTATTACAAATAGAAATTATATAGATTGGAATGTCAAATATTTGCTCGATTCCAGAAAATCTTACAAACGTCTATTTTTTCACTTTTAAGAAATTTGTAAACAAAATTATCGGTTTTAAAAATCTTCCAAAAATAAAATAGATATTTGTGACACGCTATTTGAGTAAAATTAGAAAATTTAAAGTTAAATTAATCTGATTTGAAACAAACATCACTTATAGCATAAAAAAGTAATATGCAAGCATTTCTTGACGACGGGTCCATTTTTTTTTTTCTTTATTGACATGTTTTGAGGTGTTTAACAACTAGTATGCTAGTATGGATGACCAGAATAGACATACATTTACGAAATCTAAGTGAACGCATTTTTTTTTTGTTTTTAAAAACCTAGTAATTACAAATTAATATATTTTCAGTAATTATCTAATATTTTAGTGACTTTTAGTTACGTTTGTAAATGCTTTATGAAATTTGGGTTTTGTCCGGGTACTTATCTTAAGTTTACTAACTTAAACAAAAATCTACTTTATTAAAGTATGATGACCCAAACTAAAATAAATACATAAAATAAAAATATTTAATGAAATAGTAATTAAAAAAAGTAAAACTTCAAAATTTTGAAGGGGTCATTTGCAAAGACATTAACAATGAAACAACTGAATAATGAAAGTGAAAGAATTGCAGAGCGCCAAACAACTCTTAAATCACATGACCTTTTAAAGGATAATGCCATTTATGGTTTACCATAGTTACAAAGTGGGAACATTCATACATTAAATTTTTTTTTTTTTTTTTAAATATTGGCTACAAACAACTGTTATTAGCTTTTCAATTTTTGGTTCATAAATATAGTTTTCACGTAATAACAATATCACCCAACCACTTTGAAGTAATGCAGAATTTTAAACAATTTTTTAATATTATAAATTATTTAATTAAAATTTTTAAAAATGAAAAATTTTGTAAAAATTAATTATTCATCGAAAAAAATTCATTAAGACAATAGTGTCCTTAATAAATCTTATTTATAAAACTAATTAAAAGCTTTTCTAATTAATGTCATAGTTTTATTACATTTTTTTTATTTTACAATTCAGAGCAGATTTTCAGTGAATAGGTAACTGTTTTACAAAAATATTGATGATTTACATTCTCCAAGGGGTCCTGGTATTTAACTAATAAAAAAAAATCCCTGCTCTAAAAAGTGAATTTCTCAAAATTTAATAAATAAATAGTGTTTATATTTTTGTTGTAAATTTTCAAAATAAAATTTATAAATTCACTTTATCATGTTTAGGATTTATTACAATTGTAATTATCAATTTTTAAAACAAACATTGCTAAGGAGTGAAGGTAGTTAAAATAATAATAGTGGTGTCAATAGAAAAACCATCCCTTTGACACTGTTTTTTTTGCATGCATGATGGTCCAAGTTTGCCAGCAAATGCTAATATTTTTGAATTAGTTTCTTATACTGTTATTTTTTGATCCCAAGAAAAAGCAAATTTTACCAATTTTATATGCCATTTCATTTTTGCATATGATGATTATCTTTTGAAAACTAAGAAAAAAAACAAATGGTGATGGTAATCTCTTTAAGTTCACACCATGTTCCGTCTATGAATGAGGTCCTTTGTATTTTCTGAAATTAATAAATACTAGCAGTAGAGCCTGGCGTTGCCCGGGGATGTAACAGTAAGAGATAGATCAAGTATCGACCATCATAAAGACTGAAAAATAAAATTGACAAAGATTATTGTTTAAGGTTTTTTGCACACGCATGTCTTAATTAGTTTTTTTTTTTTTTTTTTTTTTTGAATTGGTCAAACTCAAACAAAAACATTGTTTTCAATCGTTATGAGTCTACTGATTGAATAGAATTTTTTTATAAACAATTGTCTTGTAAATGGAATTTTTTTTAAAAGCATTCTGAATGTAAAAATAAAGAAAAAGTGTGCAAGACAATAAGAAACACTACCTGCCAAAAAAAAAAGTGGATGTTTGTTGAAATCGGTTGAAAAATGTAGGAAATCCGATCCCATATATATAAACAAACACACACACGCACACAAACAACCTGGGTTTTATAATAAGTATAACTCGATATGAGTTGTCCCCCTTTCATTCTTGTGATGCCTCTTAATCGTGTTTTCAAATTGATTTTGTGCAAAAACAATTGTGTTTTTTCCAATTTTTGGTGCTGTCAGAACCACCATAAGAAGGTAATTTTACGTAGTCCTGTGAAGTTTTGTTGAAATCGGTTGAAAAGTTTAGGAAACCGATCCAATATATAAACGTACAGACACACACACACACACACACACACAACCTGGGTTTTATAATAAGTATGATGTATTATTTTACTATTCACCTGTCTCATGACTCTTTTATGCTCCTTAAGTAATCAACTGGCCAATGACTGAAGTAAAGGAGGAATTGATCATGTATATTCAATGAATAAGGGAAATGGGTATAATAGTAAAAATTTACCAATAATTCATCCAGATAAAACTTAAAAGCTTTTATTTGATTTCATTCTTCTTTTCCTTTTTTTTTTTTAAAACTTGTATACATTTTCTGCAAAGTTGTTTTGTATACAATGCATTAACTGATTAATTTTTGAGTACTTTTCTTTTTTTTTTTTTAATTTGGTCAACTTTAAATGATATTAATTAAAAATTCTGTTATTTTTGGATCTCATATTTAAAATGCAGAACAATCCCTTTGTTTTAACTTGGCTTCTGCTTATGTTTGACATCATAAATAAATATGACAATTTCTGACTAGTTCAATCAATGTCTCTGTGACGAAAGACATGACTTACCTCAGAATTCGAAACGTGATGATAAGAAGAAATATGGTTGCTATTGAAGACACAATTTATGCACGCCTATCTCATCCAAAACGAGACAATATTTGTGCACATGCAAATTTTGGCCGTATTGGAATAGCATAAAAAGCAGGGTGCCAGCAGCACAAGAGATGGGAGGTCATTTGGCAGACAGCGTGCAATAGAGTTGGACATACAGATTGACAGATGGACAAAGCGGAAGTCGAAGTAGGCGCGGCTGAGCTGGTTTCCATTTCACAACTGCCCAATGTAATGGCTGAGAAAGGGAGCCACACAATCCATTTCTTTGTGGTGACCAAAGAAGAAAAAATAACTGGTCTGCCGATGAGCACTGTACTGCACTTTTTGAACTTTTTTTTTTTTCCTACAGTCTCATAGTTCTCATGAGAACAACAATGACTTGAAGCCAGCAAGTGACTTCTTGCCATGCTGATTGCAGATGATATGGCAAACTAAACATTTTGTACAGAGCCTGGCCTGTTTTGTAAACTCTGTTCAGCTTGATTGTGAATTTTCCTTTGATGGGTGAGGCCACAGCAGTTTCTGCAAGTTTTCTGACACACCCCACATATTATTTTACTGATCATGATTTATGAAAGGTCTATCAATATGACTTTTTTTAATATATATTTACATAATCATATATAATTGCCAGCTACTACTCACTTCTGAGCAGACCTTAGTTAGTTTCTGAGAGCAAGCATGATCAATCTTTTAAACAAGGTTGATGCACCCAAACCTGCAAGCACAACCATTGACGATTTCTAAACAGCTCTGTCTACCCAATTTTACTCTCAAGGCTTTGCTCAACTTGTATTATGGTTTTCAGCCATTTTCCAAAGGTGCTGCATACCTTGGCTTGCATCCCTAGGCCGATAACATTGGAAATTTACATCCCTGACTAATTGTCCCTGGTAAGATTTGAACCTGAGTTTCATGGTATGCACACACATGCACGTTTTGTCTTAAAAATTTTATTTCTATCTTCTGCAGGAATTTTTTACGCCTTCAGCTAGCTTATTTCATCATGCCTGCTGCTTGCGATCCAGATGTTGCTGACATTGAGGATATTGCCAATTCTCCAGAGATGATCACAGACAGGAGTATTCCATCCAGGAAAATGGTTATGCCTCGTGTACGGAAGCGTCACAAAAATGTCGTCACACCACCTGTACTTGCTGACAGTTACATACCAGGTTAGAAGTGTATATCTTATAACACAGGATTATTTGTCTTTTATTGTCATTATTAGCAACATTCAAAATAGGGATTATCTGAGTATATAATGATTAAGAACCAGAAAATACAGTAAAGTACTAATTTTACACAAACTCAGTTATTATACAATGGGTCAACACAATTGCATCATACTATATATATATATATATATATGACATTTTTTATGTTTATATGTTTTTTTATAGATATAAATATTTAAGTAAATGCTCTGTTTATAATAAACAGTATTAACAACATTTACTGGCCTGAATGTCCAAGAAATTTTCATAGAAAATATGCGTCCTCCAACAGGAACTGAACCTGTATCCTATACAGAATCGTATGTGCTTTTACCGATTGAGCCACAGAAGAGCGTTTTGATTAGCAAGGTCGATTTTACTGTTTTTAAACTACAATTCTCCATGATTTTCTATCATACATTCATATCTGCTTGATGCGTATGCAAATGTAAACAAATGACGTCACACATTATGAAATTATGAAGTCCGACAATTATTTTTAAGACATTTTTTATGTTTATACATTCTTTTTATAGATACAAATATTTAAATAAATGCTCTGTTTATAATAAACAGTATTAACTACATTTACTGGCCTGAATGTATGAGAAATTTCATAGAAAATATGTCTTCCGACAGGAATCGAACCTGTTTCCTACACAGAACCGTCATATAGCCTAATATGCTATACCATTTAGCTACAGAGGAAGCATCTGGTTAGCAAAGTTAAATTCAGTCAGTTATGTGCCAAATGTGATACACGCTTAGACGATCATATATCTTTCAAAATATGACTGAAGAGGCAGATTTTTTCCTGCAGTAGATTCCCATTTCTTTCTGCGGTAGACCAGTTGCCATCCAATGCTATAGAAATCCGGTTTGTCCTGTTACTTATTCATAGCTGGGAGGAGAGAAGAAGAGGATTCATACCTTTCCCAAGGGTGTTAGCACGTAAATGAATGTAATGGATTCGACTGGAATTCGATCTCGGCACTCCAATTCCTCAATCCGAGCCACTATCCATTGCTCCACCATGCCTCCTTTAAATTAAATTACTGTTTTTAAACAACAAATTTCCTATGATTTCTCTTGAACACTCATATCTGCTCAAAGCATATCTTAATTTAAACAAATGATGTGTTATATTATGAAATGGACTAAGTTTGACAATTATTTTAATATATTTTGTTTATACATTATTTTTACAGTTACAACTATTTAAGTAAATGCTCTGGTTTTATAATAAACAGTATACTGGCCTAAATGTGTGAGAAATTTCATAGAAAATATGTCCCCCAACAGGAATCGAACCTATTGTTTACATTAAGATACTCTTTGAGCAGATATCAGCGTTCAAGAGAAATCATGGGAACTTTGTTGTTTAAAAACAGTAATTATGTTTCCTTTCGATTTTGACATTTAATTATCCAAATTCTTTGTCTTTGATGAAATAGATTTATTTACAGTGGGTTAGAGGAGGTAAAAGAAAGAAAAAATAAAGTCACAAAAGGAAGGACATAATCTGCCAGAACCTCCAGCAGATCAGTCTGGTTCTGGAGGCTATTCAGATGTTCTGTCAAGACCCTGAGAGCTAGAAGGACAAGGCAACCCTCATAGGCCCAACACCTTCATGACAAAGATTTAGCAGCAGCAAATATACAAATTACTAGAAAACAACACTAAATCTTTCCTGGGAATGTTTTTGTATTGAATCTCATTTTATTTATTGGTTTGATTGATTTCTGTGCCTCTGCTAATTGGCAGGTTATTCATCTTTCCATCACCATCACATTTTTTTTTTGTTTTTTTCAAAGGAACACAGAAGATTTATTTAAAGACTTGGGGCTGTTCCCACAACAATTCTGATGGAGAATACATGGCCGGACAGCTGGCCAGCTATGGCTACACAATAACTGGTAAGCTCCTTATATTTTCCTTAAATCTCTTTATTTTAAATATTTACTAAGCATTGTTTAAAAGTTTTTCCACTCTTCACACACACACACACACGTCTGTTTATACATACATACACACACACACACACATATATATATATATATATATATAACCAAATCTGTAGGTGGTAGGGATTATTCCAATGCAGTCACTTTAATATAAAAATAAAGAGTTAACTCCATGTATAAACTTATATACAGAGCAACATAAATAAATAATAAAGAAAAAACTTAATTAGCCATCATATAATTGGTTATATATTTACATTTTATTAAATGATATAAATCCAGCAAACCAAAAATGAAAAAAGGGGTGAGAAGGAAAAATGATGTAGCAATTTTAACTTGAACTTTAAAAAAATTGGGGGTGGGGGCTTATATATATATATATATATATATATACACACACCGAGTGTAACATCAAAATTGTCCATTTGTTAGATTAAGCTCTGAACTGTTGTATCTTGGAAATGATTAAAAATATCTTACTGGAATACTCTGAGGTTTTTATAACACTATTTGAGCAAAAAGAACATATAATTACTCTCCAAGCTTAAAAGAAAATAAACAAAAATGATATGGTCATCATTAATTAATCATAGCTAAGGATCGGAAGCTCATGAAGTATTGAAATAAAGTTCAAATATATATATCATATTACAGGATCATTTTCCAACTTATTCAAGATGTTCTTCACCCTTGCTGACCTTCTAACTTTTTGTTCTGGAATAACAAGATGCCTCACAGGTTTCACGTATGACTTCATTTTCAAGTTTTTTATTCACTGCTCTTTAGACTGTCATAGCTGAAACTCATCTCTCACGTGCCAAACATCTTATGGATTGAGTTGGATCTTTTCTAATTGATCTCTTTATCTCTAAGTTGAAATGATGATCCCTCTTCCTGTTGTGACCTCCCAATTCAGTTTTCTTCTCTATTGTTCCCTCTTTAAAACTTATTCACCGTTCTCCTGATGGTTCTTGAATAGACTTTGAAGATGGAAGCCAGAGTATGAATGTTGGTACCATTACTGAAAGCCTGAATGATTTTTTTCCCCTCACCATTGCTCAGTTGAGAAGACAGTGGGTCTGGCACAAAATGATTTTAACCTGTTCTCTTTCTAACTGAATAACTCAAAGTGTTTTTAGTGATTCTTACAACAAATGGTGTCAATATGGCTAAACGTCTTATCTGAAAACTTGTAAAAATGAAACTCAATTAGTTTAGTGGGTTTTTTTTTTTAGATATTAAACATTTTTTGGGATGGATAATTATGTTACATGATTTGGAAAATTTTGTTATTACACCCTGTATATATAACCTTTCCATCCATATTGAATATCTTGATAAGTGGCTGTGCAGTCCTGATGCAGTTTGACAAACATTCTTAAAGGACCTGACTGCATGGGTGAACAGATATTCTCTCATTGGGTTATTCAGTCAGCAATGAAACACTATTGAGTGATCTTGTATATTGTGTGACTATCATTTTCAAAGTGATTTTGGCACAACATTGCCTCACCCCAGTTGGTCAGCACCCCACCATACCCAACAGTCCAGATTTCGCTCCCTGCAACTTTTAGTTTTTCCCAAAGGTAAAATCACCATTAACAATGTTAAGGGAAATGTGATGAGGTAGCTGATGGCAGTCCCAAAAAGAAGAAATTTCAGATTGTTTTAAAATGTGGAAGGGACTCTGTGATATTTGTGTGTGTTTGAAAGTTTGGTACTTTGAACTGAACTATGGTACCATTTCCCTAGGTAGGCTATTTTCCATTTTTTTTATTTTTTTTTTGTGTTAATATTAAATGGTTGGATACTTTTCAGACAAGCCTCCAATAATTAATATTATAATAATATAATTAATAGTCATATTAATGCCATCACATGGAATTATATTGTTTTTTTTTTCTAGCCCCATACAATGTTGAACTGTTTTAATGCATGTGTAACCTTTTGTTAAAAGTCAAATTGAAAATGAAAGGAAATATTAAATGTTGTAAGAGATTAGTTTTCCAATTTCAAAGGAATCTTTGTTTTCTCCCTTTTTATTTCAGACAGCAAAGAAGAGGCTGATCTTTGGGTTTTAAACAGTTGCACAGTGAAAAGTCCCGCTGAAGACCATTTCCGCAATGAAATAAACAAAGCAAAGGAGTTGGGCAAATTTTTGGTGGTTGCAGGTTGTGTACCTCAAGGACAGCCGCAAGCTGATTACCTTTATGTAAGTACATACTTTGCTCTAAAGACTAATTCCCTGAATGATTCCAGGCACTTTGTGCTGTTCTTTGTTTTGGTTGAGCATGAGGATTTTAAAGTAGTTCCTTCTTTGTGCAGATATTTTAATTATAATGAATACTTGTACAATTGAGTTCTTTTTTTTTTTTTTTTTCATCGGGGATGATTTCAATCCACTTCCTTTATGCAATTCTTTATTTTGATCAGGGATGATTTCAATGCACTTCTTTCATGCACGTCCTGGGTAAGATGATAAACTGCATCCAGCAGCAAGGCTTCTAATCAGGAGGTTTTGAGGAGTGTAGAACCACCTCTTAATTGCTGGTGTTCCCAGGTCCACCCTGACCCGGGGTGGTAGCACCTGTTAGGGTCTCAGTTATGGGCAAATAGTTAACTATTACCAGCAATATTTTTTTTTTTTTAAATTATTACCAGCAATACTATTTTGAAGGAAAAATATTACCAGAAACAGATTTTTGACAAAACAAAATATTACCAGCAATAAAAAATTTTGTTGGCATTAAATAACCAATTGAGGTTGATATGCTGTAAAAGAAAATAAACCAAACCAATCTAAACCAAAGAATACATATCCTGTTCATATGAATCTATCCTAAAAATGTTGTCGGCATTAAATAACCCATTGAGGTTGATATGCCGTAAAACAAAATAAACCAAACCAAACTTCCTTCATTCTTTATTTTGATCAGGGATGGTTTCAATGCACTTCCTTCATCCAGTTCTTTATTTTGATCAGGGATGATTTCAGCTCCTTTCCTTCATTTTATCAGATCAGATAATTTCAAGGGAAATCTTTTCACAAATGACGGAAAATGTGACACCAAAATCTGAAGGTACATTTGGCTAGTGGAAGATGCCTTCCAAATGCTAAGCAAAGTATTGAGAATCAAGAAAATTTTGCTACAAGCAATGAAAAGCATGCTGAACTGCTATGAGACATCAGTTCTTCTACATAGCAGTGAATGCTGGACAATTTTCTGACATGTGAAGAGGAGAGGCAACAGAGATTTGTTGTTGCAGAAAGATGCTGAGAATACCATGGAAGGAACATTTGAGTAACAAGGAAGTTTTAGGGAAAATGGCGACAAAAAGGACAATTTATACCTAGAATCAGAAAGAGACAGTTTAAATTTCTAGGACACATAATGAGGAAAGAGGGCTTGGAGAATTTGACACTCTTAAGAAATATGATACACGTGTAACCTTTTGGAGGGACAGATGAAAGCAGTGCGTAACCTAACTAATGAACTTGTGTAGATGATGGCATAACAGGAAGTGAAAGGGGTAGTAAGGTGACAAATATTGCCTTGAACTACAACTGATAGGAAGTTAGCCATTAAGAAACACAGATGATGATGATGATGATGATGATCTTAATACAGTTCCTTCGTGCACTTCATTATTCTTATAATAGAATATTTCTGTGCAGTTCCTTCCTATAGTTCTTTATTTCAATCAGAGTAGATGATTTTAATGCGGTTCCTTCATACAGTTTGGGCTTATGGCTATATCATGTTGAAACACCAGTTCTGGTACAATCACCAAAGTTAAGTCACATTGAGAAGTCAGTGCCTAGATGGGTGACTGTATAAAAATACCAAGTGCTCTAAGCTTGGATGTATGGATGGTGTAATGGATAAGAGCTCTGAATTGGAAATTGGTAAGTTCCAATCCCAGTTGAATTTGTTATATTCACTTATATGCAAATGCTTTTGGGGAAAAATATTAATCCACCTCTTCTCCCCCAGCTATGGGTTGAACAGTAGGACGTGTATCAGTAAGTTATTATTACTGCCAAAAAATTCATACAATCTAAAAATATTTTCTTCCTTTGAATAACCTACAAAAGGTTGATAAATCGTAAAAAATAAATCAATCAAATTTATGCAGTTCATTATTTTTATTACAGATGATTTCAATGCAGGTCCTTCCTCTAGTCCTTTTTTTACAGAATGAGAAAACTGTGTTGTCTGAATTAAATGTTTCCTTTCAATATAATAACTGGATATTTGTAATAATGCAAGTAAAAAAAATAGATTAGTTGTGACATGTTTTGTCTTGGTAGAATAATCAGGTAACCATATTTATATAACAAGATATTTACATCATGGTTAGCATTTATTCAACAAAAATGGCAGAACATTTATTTGTTCTAATGAATAGCACATTCTGGCCGTATCTGGGCAGATCTGTCCTGTTTTTACTTTCCACCCTTGACAGAGTTCAAAAGCATTTATACAGCCTTGTGGGTAATGAATTATTTTCAACCCTAAAACCTCTCTCCCACAGATGAAACATTGCAAGCATATTACTGCTCTGTTGTTATTTCCATGGTCAATGTTCTGAGCTACAGTTCAGACCTTTACAGCTAGAACATGGTATACCTCCTACACAAGGTCGAATCATCCTTCTTCTCTTCATATTCCATTGGTCAGTTCCATTCAGATAGATTCTCAAAAGCCACTGCTTCATGGAACTGACTCCCAAGTGGATGTTTATTTGATCACTACAATCATAATCTCTTCAAGTCTATGGCAAGCTGTTGTCTATCTTACATATCCTCATAAGCTGCACTTACATCCTCTTCTTATGTCTTGAAACACTGGTTCCCATACAATCACCAAAGTAAAGCATTGTCAAGTCTGGTCAGTACTTAGATGGATGACTGCTTGGGACTACCAGGAACTCTATGCTTGGATGTGCAGGTAGTATAATAGATAATCGGAGAGCCAAGTTCCAAAAGCCTTCATAAACCAATGATATTCTTGCTTTTGTATATAAACACATGCAATAAAATAAATCCTACATTACCTTGATAAATTCCCTCAGAGCATGAAATGCATCAGAATAGTTTTTCCCCCCATCTCTTTATATATATATATATATATACGAATGTCAGTGTGTCACACTTTTTCAATAAAAGGGACACAACTTTCTAACTTTCAATAGCTCATGTTACAGAAATTTGAATTCCCAAGTTTTCATTACTGTGAATGTTTTTGGTGATTTTTTTTTTTTTTTTATGTGATTTTTTGTGACAAATTTTTTTGTACAATTTTTATAACTTGGAAATAAATTTGGGAATAATCGAAATTAATTGTGAACTCCAAGGAAAGTCACCCATGAAATAAAAATAATTGTTTGTGCGGAAAGTAAGAACCTACATACTTCAAATTGTCTTTAAATTAAGTGGTGTTAGAAGAATTATCATTAAACTTTTAAAAGGTAAGCTTAAATATTAATGCAATACATAAATGCAGAGATCAATTTTGAGCTTTTCTGTAGTTTATTGTTACCTATCACATACGGTAGCAGTATGCCTCGCAAAAAGAAATCTCCGCCAGCAGAGGACTAGATTGCAATCAAAAGAGTCAAGGCTGCAGAAAGGAAAAGAAAATCCCGTGCAAATGAAAACCCAGATCAAGTGGCAGCCAGGAGAACTTCCAATGCCGAGAATATGCAAAGACTTAGGGACTCTCAAACTCCTGAACAAGCTGAAATATATATGGAATGTAAATTAAATATTGGATATGAAACTAAATTTCTTCTTCACTTATTTCTTCCAGGGCATAAGTGTGATTGGTGTACAACAAATTGATAGAGTCTTGGAAGTTGTTGAAGAAACTTTAAAAGGTTAGTTTATATTTTTAATATCCTTGATTCTGCTGCTTTGACTACAATGCTCTTTATAACAGCATAAGATCTTGATGTTTTCTCTCCATTTCAAATGCCCTGTTTGTAGGACATATATAGGCTAACTGCATCCCCCTCCAAACAGACTTCCTTCGAGGTGATTCCTTGCAGACTCAACTGCAAACCAGAACTTTGTCAGACCACTGTTTACTCTTTAATTTAAGTATAAAGTTGTTTGTCTTTTGGCTCCAGTATAAACTATTAATTTGTTTTTTTTTATAAGATTTCTATTTGATATTATAGCCCAGCAAGGGTTGATATGTCCTTGAATTAACCAATTTAACAAGCATATATTTCAGTTAAAATGAACTTGTACCAACCAATTATTTTTTAATGTAGAAAGAACTGTATCTAAACTCTAATCAGCAGGTGTCTAGTGTTAAATGATTTTTGAACAAACATGCTTATAATTTAGAAAACTGTTTTATGTAATAAAGTGTTGAAGTGCACAACTTAGCTTTATTTGTACTTCTACTATCCCCTAATCAGCAGGAGTCTCATGTTAAATAATTTTTGGGCATACATCAAGGGGGATGCTTGTAAGTAATTTTATGATTTAGAAAATCGTTTTTTTTTTTGTTTTAAGTGATGTATGGAAATGTCCATGATGAAAGGGGAAAAGAAATAAAAATAGGATTAATATTTTTAATAAAATAATAATACTCTGTAAATAATATAGATATTTCTATATAAAAATTTTTTTAAAACAAAATAAAGATTTTTTTTAATCATAACATCCCATACAAGGCAGTAAAGCCACGAAGACACAAGGAGTTACTGAATGTGAAAGAATAAGAAAAAAGAGAAACATTATTAAGGCGTGAGAACAATAGAAGAGCAATCAGTAGATAATGATTGACATTGCATTTGAATTTTTGAAGTTGGATAGAAGTCTGGAAACCGAAGAGAGTTCCACAAGCAAGAAGTGTGAGAAAAGAGATGGTTAGCATAGAACTTGTGGTTACATCTAGCCATTTCAACTGTAAAATGAGACCTAGCTGCCAATCTAGTACTGCACTTAAATTCATAAAGTCTAGGTACCATAGTGCAAAGTTCCTCTGAACAATTATTGTGACCCTGTTGCTGCATGCTTTACTGAATGCTACTCCTACTTCGGTCTGTGTCCATTGGTCCGTCTCTGGCGAACCTGCTTTGCATCAAACCTGCATCCCAATGTGTTTCACTATCTGTAGGAATATCGGTGAAGAACTGTCAAAGATCAGGCTTGACTCCTCTCTGTCCTAACTATGCTTGTGAAAGACTAAAGTCACTGGTGTTGACAGTAAACTTAATTAACTTCAACGACACTCATTAACAAGTGTAATAACAACAACTTTTATTTATCATACTATGATTTAATGTCATGAATACATAAACACGTGGGATTTGAACAAGTTTCCCCGTACAAGGAATTCTTAAGCTGGGAGAAAGAGGTTGACTAACAGTTGCAGTTATGGCAAAAAAAGCCGAGAATTGTTCAGCTATTTAACTGAAAGCAGCTGATTGACAACTAGGTCTCATCATTTAACAGCTGAAATGGCTACATGTAACTTAGTTCTATGCTACCACTTTATTCTCTTGCACTTCTTGCTTGTAGAAATCTCTTCTGGCTTCTGGCTTTCCAGTCAACTATGATCTTCAAAAATTTAAATGTCATGTCATTCATCATCTTTTGTATCCTTGATTTCTGTTCGTTTACAGTTCTCTCTCTCGTTAATAAGGATTTTTTCTCCATTTCTTTTACACTCAGTAACCCTTTTCATCTTATTGACCTGGTTTGAGGAGAAATGATTAAAAAAAAGTATCTATTAAGTCTTTTTTTTTTTTTTACTCTTGCATAATTTGTCTCATCTCTTCTCATCTTGAAAGGTCACACGGTGCGGTTGTTTGGACAAAAAAAGCAAGAAGGCAAAAAAACTGGTGGAGCTTCATTGGCACTTCCAAAGATCCGAAAAAATCCTCTGATTGAAATTATTGCCATCAATACTGGGTAGGCAGCAGCAATTTTGATATTAGGATGTATCAAATGTATTTTCATTTTTTACAGAACTTCACGCCAATTCATATTTCATGTGCACATCTAAAGACTGTCAATGTCTCTACTATGTAATTATTATTATATTAGAGTGTATCAAAAGTATTTTCATTTTTTACAAACCTTTACTCTAAAGCTTACCTTTTTTTTCAGACAGAAATATTTTTTTTTTTTTACTAAAGTTTGTGCGTCCTGGGTATGACGATAAACTGCATCCGCATCCTGGGCAAGACGATAATCTACATCCAACAGAAAAGCCTCTGACCAGGAGGTTTTGCGGTGCATGGAACCACCTCTTAATTGCTGGTGTTCCCAGGTCCATTCTGACCTGGGGTGGTAGCACCTGTTAGGGTCCCAGCTATGGGCAAGTAGTTGACCCCACAACCTGACTATCAAAGTGTAAAAATAGATTTTAATACCAGAAATACTTTGTAAAAAAAAAAAATTAATATCAGCAATAAATTTTTGAAAGAAGATCTTACCAGCATTAAAAATCTTGTCAGCATTAAGTAACCCATTGAGGTTAATATGCCACAAAACAAAACAAAAACTAAAGTTTGCTTAGTGCAAAGCTCGAGAGCCACTCAAGGATTACTGTTAAAAATAGTCATGAGGTGTGTGATATGAATGTAAAAGAAGATATTAGTATGTGAAGGTTTTGAGGATAGATATCAATTGACCCGTAAAATAAGATTATACTATTTAGGGAAGTATTCATGTGGGAATCTTAAACAAAGTGGCTGTTCTTGAACTGCATAGAAGTAGCATGGTATGTCTTAGTTTTAAAGGTCAGAACTGGTGGAACTGAAGAGTTCTACACATCTAAAGATTAATAACCCAGCAAGGATAGAAATTATTTAGCATTTAACTTCTGAGATGAGTAATTTTCAATATTCTTGTATTATTTCAAGCTATCATCCTCATTTTGGTTGATAGTGTTATAGGCACATTTCAACACATTATCATGTTATAGTTATATATAGTTATCGTGTTATAGGCACATTTCAACACATTACCATGTTATAGTTATATATAGTTATCGTGTTATAGGCACATTTCAACACATTACTATGTTATAGTTATATATAGTTATCGTGTTATAGGCACATTTCAACACATTACCATGTTATAGTTATATATAGTTATCGTGTTATAGGCACATTTCAACACATTACCATGTTATAGTTATATATAGTTATCGTGTTATAGGCACATTTCAACACATTATCATGTTATAGTTATATATAGTTATCGTGTTATAGGCACATTTCCACACATTATCATGTGTCCATTGATCGGCTGATATTGTCATCTAGTTGTCATCAGTTCAATCTTTGGATGTGGTAGTGACACCAATTCAGAAGTAAAGAACAATAACTGATATCACAGACAAAATATCAGAATAAACAACAGATATCCCATATCAGCCAATCAATGGACACCTGATGATGACTAGTGAGTACTTGATCAAAACATTGTCTATAATGACATTTATATCAGTCAAGATGTGAACAATAGTTCAAAATAATACAAAAAGTTAATAATACTAAAAGTTAAGTCTTTTCAGCCATTAGGATAGAAATTATTTAGCATTTAATTTCTGAGATGAATAATTGTCAATATTCTTGTATTAATTATTTCAAACTATTGTTCTCACTTTGGTTGATACAGGTGTTATTAGAGACACATTTCGATCAAGTACCCTCTGGTCTTCATCATTGGCTGGTATGGAATATCTGTTGAGTAATATGATATTTTGTCCCTGTTATATCAGTTATTGTGTGCTCCTGCAGAATTGGTGTGTCACTACCAGATCCAAGGATTGAACTCATGACAACTAGATGACAATAACACCTGTATATGACCAAAACCTATATCCACTACTCAACTGAAGGACATTTGTGGTATAATTTTGGTGCTGTTTTATATTCAATGTCAGATGGTTTTTGACATTTAGTTATAATGGCAGCTTCGTACTGCAATAAGGCATAGTAGATATTGGAGTTGGTTACACGTCTGTTACTGTCATTTAGTTATCATAAGTTCAATCCTTGGATTTGGTGGTGGAGCACTAATTCAGCAGGAATGAAGAGTAACTGCCATCACCAAGATAAAATTTTCACAATAATCAACATATATCCAATGGACACCTGATGATGACCAGAGAGTACTTGATCGAAACTGTGTCTATAATAACCTCTATATCGACCAAGATGAGAAAAATAGTTCAAAATAATGCAAGAATAAGGATAGACTTGTCATAAAATCAGCCAATTATATGGTAGTGTGTTCAGTCCTCACTAGGTGCCCCATACAACACAGAGTGTCATAAAATCAATTAACCAACCAATCAATGCTTATTTAGATAACCCATTAATGATTCATTTTGTCAAACTATGTTAAGCTTCATATAAAAAAATATATAAAATAAGTATTCTTTACAGTGGGTGCTGAAAAGTTCTCTACCCCCCCCCCCCCCAACCCAAGACACACACACACACACACACAAAGAAAATATTTCAAACAAGTTTTTGCTTTAGGTCTGACTTTGGGAAGTTGGTTGGGCTGAGAACTTTTCAATATCTCCTCGTGTATTTTTAATGTTTCAGTTTTGTAATGTTGTTTTTAATGTTTCATTGCAGTTGCCTCAATCAATGTACGTATTGTAAGACAAAACATGCAAGAGGAGAACTTGGCAGTTATCAGCCAGAGGACATCGTGGCCAGGGCCGTTCAGTCATTTCAAGGTGATATGATGTTGCCTTTCTCAGCCTTCTCTCCAAGAAATTTATATTCATTGTAAAATCTAAACTCCTCCTCCTGCAGAAATCTGAAAAAAATATACTTTTCATATGTTTTACATTTGGTTTTACATTTCACTACTTGTAAAATTTACTAATCCCTTAAATGTCTGATGTATGTATTTTTCAGTGAGATTTACAATCTAAACGTCATCTCCTGTTTTACTGCTAAGCTACAAGAAGCCATCAAAGCACAATCAAGGCACAATTACTCTCAGATGTGGTATAATGGATAACAACTTTAGATGAGTGTGTGGGGGGAAACTAAAAAAGTTTTTTTAGATGAGTGTATGTAGAGGAACGAAAAAATTTTTTAGATGAGTGTATGCGGAGGAACGAAAAAATTTTTTAGATGAGTGTATGTGGAGGAAAGAAAAAATTTTTGGGATGGGTGTTTGTGGAGGAAAGAAAAAATTTTTGGGATGGGTGTATGTGGAGGGACCAAAAAAGTTTTTGGATGGGTGTATGTGGAGGGACCAAAAAATTTTTTGGGTGGGTGTATGTGGAGGGACGAAAAATCTTTTGGATGGGAGTATCTGGAGGGACCAAAAAATTTTTTAGCTGTGTGTATGTGGAGGGACCAAAATTTTCTTTTAAGGTGGGTGTATGCGGAGGAACCATGAATTTTTTTCAGATGATTGCATGTGGAGGGACCAAAAATTTTTTAGATGATTATATTTGGAGGGGCCAAAAGTTTTTTTTAGTTGAGTGTATGGGGAAGGACCAAAAATTTAAAAGCAAAGTAGCAACAGCAAAAAACAACTTTCACTTTATGAAATACCAATTATTAACAAGCAAAATGCCTTGCCTTAGTTTCATGCATAGATTTCTTTTTTAATCATTTCTTCCAAGCAAGGCAACAAAGCCACTAATATGCAAGGAGTTAATGAGCATTAAAGAGAAATTGAGAAAATGTTATTGAGGCAAAAGAACAATAAAATGACAGGATTCAAATAGACGATGATGATTGATGTTGCGTTTAAATTTTTGGTAATCAAAGTTGACAGGGAAGCAATAAATCAGAAGAGAGTTCCACAGCCGAGAAGTGTAAAATCATTAGACCATATTCATTAGACCTGGCTTCTTTAATATTTCCCCTTTTCTAGCAAGATAAATGCTCGACAAACGTACATATAAGTTTTAGATCAAAATAAAATTCTTTTCGTTTTTCATTCAAAATACTCAAATTTTAGGAATGCGTTTTCACAACATCACCCACGTGATGATGACGTGATCATATTTAAACGGAACACTGATCTTATAAAAGATTTCAGTTATTTGTTTGGATTGGTCTTGCTCTTATGTCCATTGTCTTTTTCATGTTGAATTAAATATAGTCTAATGTTAATTATGTTTTATGAATATGTCCTGAAGATGGTCTATTAGACCGAAACATCCGACGTTGACATTATATTAACATTAAAACAGCATAATTGCATATTAGGATTTTTGTTTGTTTTTTCCGTATATTTTTCTTCATACTGTTGGATCTATATCCATATATATATATATATATATATATATATATATATATATATATATATATAGTTTTGTGGATGAGTTTGTAACCTTGGGTTTCACACTTTTGTGACCATCAGGCAAACTCATATCCATACAACTGAATATGTGAGCTCTATCACTGATATTGAGCACTTTCCAATAAGTACTGTGCATATATAAAATATATATAGAAATATATAATGTGTGTGTAAATTATTTTCAGATAGAGAGTAAAATGTATAAAAAACAAGAGGAAAATTGAATATTACTTGCTTACTTTTGCCTTACCAGACTTTGAATGAATTATGACACTTTGTGTCCTCCACATGTTTTGACTGACCTTTCAACCACTTGATGAATATTCCTGAATGTTCTCATATTTAAAAGACTTGATAAACCAAAAATATCCTTCATTTGCTTTGATAAAGTCCCTCAGAGGATAAAATGTGTCAGCTAAGAATAGTTTTTCTTCTTGTCTTTACACACACACACACACACATATATATATATATATATATAGTTGAATGGATATCAGTTTGTTACTCAGGGTTTCAGGTATCGCATAAGCATGAAATCCAGGGTTATGAACTCATATTCATTAAACTAAATATGTTAGCTCTATTACTGATATTGAGTGCTTTCCAATAAGCGCAATGCACATATAATATATATAGTCATCCACATACAGGCCTGTTTCACTGTATCACAGCTCATCAGTGCAGCTAGACATCTGGTTGTTACAAGTTGAGATTGGAACCTGACTGATTTGGCATCAGTCGGAGTTTCTACCTTGAGTTATCAGTGCATGGCAGAGGGAAAGGGGAATTCTAATATATATAGCTGACTCTCCCATCGAGTTCGACATATGAGGGTCAAGCAGATCAGTTCCCAGGAAACCGACAGCCTGACAACGGCACATGAGATTTGATTATAGTGGTGAAGGTTTTTGAAGGGCGAATTCAGAGACCTGGTGCACTAAGTGCCACAAGGTCCCCAAACGACCCTCCGCAGGTTTTAAATTCAGAGTTGTCCTTCTCCTAGACCAGTTGCCATCCAAGGCTATAGAACCCAGTCTGTCCTGCTATTTACTCATAGCTGAAGGGAGAAGAAGAGGATTCACACCTTTCCTAAGGGTATTAGCACGCAAGTGAATGTAATGGATATATATATATATATATATATATATATATATAATCCTTTGGTTATGTGGATAATCTTGGGGAGTTCCTAAAATGTGAATATTCAGCTAAAACTCCCAGTTGAGAGCTCAATGTATGAGAATAATATCAAATCGTTCACAGCAATATAATTAATTAAGATAAATTTCAAAGAAAATCTTTATTAAAATTTTCCAGTTATAAACTTAAATTTATTTCAGCAGTTGATTTACACTTCATCTTCAGACTGGTTAAATGTGCCAAACACAGGAATTAATTTGATTTAAAAAAGGATAGACAGAAAAGAAAGAAAAGAAAATTTTGTGGTAGTGGGAGGGAAAAAATGACAGGAAGTGGTAAAAATGAAGACAGAAGGGAGAGGGAGATAGCTTGATGGGTGAAGAGGAATGGGGTGAGTTTATAATGAAACGATTCCAAACATCTCTTCTGTCAAATGCCATAAGAATAGATGATCTTTTTTAAAAGATATATATATTAAGCGTTGCACAAGATCGAAAGTACCTTGTGCCAGACTTAATATATGTTTTTATTAGCCATTATCAATGCTGTTTTTCCTATTTTTAACTGTATATGTAGATTTTTTTATATAAGTGTTTCCCTAATCTTGGCAGATCTTCTATTATCACAGTGTGGGATATTTAATAACAAAAGTGATGGAAACATAAGCAAAAAAGAATTTAAAGGAAAATCTGCTTATACCCAAAACATATAAATAAATCACCGTTTTAATTTATAATTTGTGCACATGTAGTCGTATCAGCATAAATTTAGCCTGATGAAGTCTTAAAGGACGAAACACAGCATATGAAAACTTGTTCCACTTTGTCATACATTTTTCCCTTGACCCTTTGAGCCCTGACCATTACTTTACTGGTGGTAGAGAAAAACGACATAATGCCCAGACACCAGTTGAATAGTGGTAGAGGAAAACGACGTAATGCCCAGCTACCATTTGAAAAGTGGGTAAACAGTCATAACTATTTATATATCTACTGTGAAAAATTACATATCAATTATTTGTGAATTTTGAAGAGTTAAAATTGTTCAGGAACACATGGTTCAAATGGTTAAGATATATGTATCTATAATGATGGGACAGTTTTTTTATTTTCCAATCACAGTCAGTACATTGTGGCCGCGTTCTTAGTTGATATTATTGATTATTGGCTTTTTTCTTTTTTATTATTAGTGCTTTCCTTATTTTTAACTTGTGGATAATAAAAATTCTTGATAATGGTTGCCAGAATAACCAAAACCACTCAGATATGTAGAACATTTCAACAGTCTTTACACATTTTATGTTCAGAAAAGAAAACACTTATATGAACCCAAGAAAAATTGTTTGTTTTTTTTTCTATCTCACCATATGAACTTTGTTGTTTTTGTTCGTTCTTATGCAACAGTATGTGGTATATAACACTATTGTCTTTTTTATGAAGTTAAGTAATCTTGAGCCTGGTCAGTACCTAGATGGGTGACCACTTGGAAATAACAGGTGCTGTAAATTTGGCTGTGCAGGTGGTGTAATGGATAATGACTTGGAATTGTTAATCGGAGAGTAGAATTCCAATTCCAGTTGGGTCCATTATATTCACTTACCTGCAAATACTCTTGTGAAAGGTCTGAATCCACCACTTCTTTCCCCAGCTATGGGTTAATTAATTAAGATTTAAGATTTGTATCACTAAAACCTTAAATTTCAAAAAAAAAAAAAATTCTTACAATCTAAAAATATTTTCTGGTTTTAAATAACCTGTAGAGGGTTGATAAACCATAAAAAATGAATGAATCAATGAATACATCTTTTTCCTACCTAAGTCGTAGTTAACATAAACAGTGAGTTGAAATATATATTTTTTTGTGTGTGTGTTTTCCCTTCTACAGTTTTGAAAATGTCTGTCTTTAAATTTTGTCCCTTCCAGAGGGTGTTGTCGAAATTTGGCTGACTTCTGAAGACTTGGGTGCCTATGGGCATGACATTGGTGTGACCTTGCCTGAACTTTTGTGGAAGCTGGTAGAAGTGATTCCTCAAGGTGCAATGATGCGATTAGGAATGACCAACCCCCCGTACATCCTCGAACATTTGGAGGTAAAGCTGGTCTTTAATATGTCTTCTACTGTTTACTACTTATACTTCCATTCTATTTTACTAGCTTTACTGATGCAGTGTATCAATCAAAAATGTTTCGATGATGAGCAAAAATAAGATGAAAGAAATCTCATCTTGGTATAGTTCTGCTTCTTACTCCCATAGCAATGCACATTACACCCTACAATATTTTCATAATTTACTTGTAGACTATTGTCCCCATCTTTATTGTTATTATCACAACATTTCGGCTGTCATGCCCTCTGGCCTTCATCAGTTGATTGTCACCCTATAATTACAAAATTTACATCTGGATTATTGCCCCCTCATCTTTATTGTTGTTATCACAACATTTCAGCTGTAGTTCCCTCTGACCGTCATCAGGTGATTGTCACCCTATAATTACATGATTTGCATATAGATTATTGCCCCCCCTCCCCCCATCTTTATTATTTGTTATCATAAACATTCCAGTTATCTCTGGCTTATTTCAGCTGTAGTGCTCTCTGGCCTTCATCAGGTGATTGTCACCCTATAAATAGATAATTTACATATGTATTATTGTCCCTGCCTTTCTTGTTGTTATCACAACATTTCGCCTGTAGTGCTCTCTGGCCTTCATCAGTTGATTGTCACCCTATAATTACATAATTTATATGTGGATTATTGTCCCCATCTGGAATTGAACTCACAATTACGACATCACTAAATTCACAAACACTTTAATCCATGAGGCTATTGTTACATGGATTAAGATGTTGGTTTATGAATTTCATGGCATAGTATTTGCGAGTCCAAACCATGGGCTGGAATTCTGTGGAAACGACCAGGTGCTGTTAGTTTCGTCGTACAGCTGGTGTAATAGATAATGGCTCAGAATTGTTAATTGGAGAGCTTAGTTTTAATTTCAGTTGGGTTTGTTATATTCATTTACATGCAAATCCTTTTAGGAAATATATAAATCTACTTCTTCTCCCCATCTATGGGTTAATTAGTAAGATTTGTATCACTAAATCATTATCTCAAGAAAATAAATTCTTACAATCTAAGAATATTTTCTGGCTTTAAATAACCTGAAAAGGGTTGATAAACAGTAAGAGATAAATTAATCGATGAGTGGAAATGAAGTAAGCAATAACTGAGCAGTACTAAATAGGAAGTAGACAAGATATCCAAAGACATGATCAGTGGAACGAGAACAATCTTTCCACCAAAGATTCATTTTGAAATTCCTCAAGGGTTACCTAAATCAAAAGCCACCTGATGAAGGTGAAAAGGTATGTTTTCAAATTGATTTCATGCAAAAATAGTGTTTTTCAATTTTTGGCGCTGTCAGAACCAATAAGAAGGTAATTTTATGTAGTCCTGTTAAGTTTTGTTGAAATCGGTTGAAAAGTTTAGGAAATCCGATCCAATATATAAACGTACAGACACACACACACACAACCTGGGTTTTATAATAAGTATGATAATGTGAATAATGATAAATCCTCATCCCAGAAATTTATACAGAAATGCCATATATTAATAGCTTGCCGGTTCCCTATCCACAAGTTCAAGGTATAGCAGATGTGGACAGTAAATTCCTTAATGTTTTTCTGGTTTACCCTTTCTCTGGTGTATGTAGAATATATATATATATATATATATATATATATATCTATAAAAGGCAGGATGTGTGTGTGTGTGTGTGTGTGTGTAATGAATGCACGGCCATAATTTTCAACGGATTTGCACCAAAATTTACATGCACATGCTCCAAGTTAGCAGGAAGGCTAAGACCAACTTTTGCATTTCCCAACTCCCATCGATAGTGGAAATAATAGATTTGTTCATGCTTCTACGGCACTTTTCATGTAGTTTATGCCATTTTCTACTGGCCAGAGTGAGAGCTTGTAGCTGGCTGCCACGAAGAGGCAGGAAGATTCTATTGGCCAGCGTGAGAGCCATCAGCTGACTGACACGAATGTTAACTAGCATGCTAGTGTGCAAAAAAATCGATAGCTGCATTCGTCACAAGTGGGAAAAATTTAAATCTGCATGGCACTTTACTCCAATTGGCTCATTCACTTGCTTAAACTCAACGTTGATCCTGATTCCGCAGAACTGGGTTGGGTGTGAAAAAAAGTATTTGTTAACATTCTTTTTTCATTCAGTTTTTCCAGTTACGAGACCTTTTTTAAAGCTGATCGTTTTGTGTTGATTTTGTTTAGTTCTTTTTTCGTAACAGATTTAATGTTTAGTACACTGCATGCCAAATTATTATCGAGATAACTTTTTTCTAATATTTCAAAAACTGTCCAATCAATTCACACAAAATTTTCACACAATTTTGGCAGCATTGACCTGTGCAATCTCTGAAATTTTTGTACTGATCTGCCCAATGTAAAAAAAACTGGCACCATATTTATCATCAGCACGGTGATTTGAGCGTGCCAAATTATTAGAAAGGTTTAGTAAAATTCCCAGAATTGAGCAAACAAAACGTTTATTAATGTTGCACATGAATGTTTATGATCAAAAGAAGCTAATAAATATGATAATCAAACAAATAATAACAAACAAAGGCACAGTTTTAAACAAATTAATAGGGAATGTGCTTTCCCCATTTTGAAATTAGTTGAAGAAGACAACGATCCATAAAATTTGTTAATTGTAGGATGCCATCTGCTGTAATGCCGCGAGATATGTCAAGAATTGCTTCACACAACTCAATGTTGCTCCTGAATTGTTGTCTGTTGGCGTACAGTCTTCACTTCATGATGCTCCAAAGGTTTTCGATTAGTTCAAATCCAAGAATTTGCTGGCCACTTCATTTTTGTGGTCCATGAAGCCTCAACTGTTTCAAATATTCAGTAGTCTTGCGAGCAGCATGTGAGGGAGCGTTATCTTGCATAAAAACAATGGCTCTTCTGAAGGCAACTCTTTGCCTTTTCATCCACGGTTCAAGATGCTCCTTCATAAACACTATGTATGCATCAGCAGTCATTTTGACGCTATCTGGTACTCTCCATGGGCCCACTAATGTTTTTCTAATAATACCACCCAGATCATTATGCCTCCACCGCCTTGTTGGCGTCTCAAACGCTGATGGCGATTCTCTCTGTTCATTACCCAGCCTTTGCACCATCTATCTGGCCCATCAAATGTTGCTCAAGTTTCGTCTGTGAACAAAACTTTAGAGAAGTCAATCTTCATATTGTCCTCAGCTCATTTCAATCGATTTTGAATGTGATTTCTCATCAACGGAGGCTTCGATACAGGTTTGACTGTTGTTACTATTTCCCTCAGGTACTGACACCAAGTACTTTTAGACACAGTAGGATCCCCAATGCGACTGAAAAGCTCTTGACTGGTGAGTCCAGGGTTCTTCGTTGCCTCTCATTTAAGTTGTGACATGAGACGACGTGAAATAACCCGCGGCTTGCCTTTATCTACCCTTTTGCGTATTTGTGTAGGGTTGGTGGTGAACTTTTTCATTGTTTGGGTTTTTTTTACCCCATCTTTTCACTAAATTCTTATACTTTTCTAATAATTTGGCATGCTCAAATCCCTGTGCTGATAGCAAATATGGCGCCAGTTTGTTTACATTGCACAGATCAGTACTTAGTGATTGCGCAGGTCAGTGTTGCCAACATGGTGTGAAAATTGTGTGTGAATTGATTAGATGGTTTTTGAAATATTAGAAAAATAGTTATCTCAATAATAATTTGGCACGCAGTGTATAGAGCTTAGAAAAAATTTGCAGTGTGAGATAGGCAAGAAGTAAGGCATGTAGCAACATCAGCACGGCAAAGGGCACTCCTTTAAAGGCAAGGAAGGGCAAAAATATTTTAAGTCAAGTGATAGCGATTGCTGTGTGAGTCGTATGATTTTTGAATCAAGCACAGGCAATGCCGTGCCATACTGCTAGTGCATATATATATATATATATATATATATATATATATATATATATATATATATATATATATATATATGTGTGTGTGTGTTGCTAGAAAGTGAAGATAGAGAAGGTGATATTATCATGTGTTTAATGTTTGCTTAAGTGAAATGGTATGGAAATATAAAATATGCCAGCCCAAAATGTTTAGTTTTGGCAATAAAAAATAATAAAAATTAGCGAAAACTATAGAATTTCCATAGATTCCATTTAAAGAAAATAGATGTCATAAAACCAATTTGAAATAAGTTGAAACATAAAAAAACTCTGCTTTTTCATTTTCGTTATTTTATATAAATGACCTGAGGCTAATAGCTAAGTAGGTGTTGAAAATTTACATTAGTTGTGAAAAGATGAACTTGCATGTGCACTTGAATGTTACTTCAAAGTAAAATAAAAAATATTGTGGAATTTCTGCAGGTGCTGACAAGTAATAAAATTATAGTGATAACAAAAAGTCTAATAATTTGGAGTGCTTTGATAAAAAAAAAAGTACCATATATACTTGAGTATAATGCAAGTTTTTATGATCATTTTTTTTATGCAAAAAATAGGGTGTCACACAGTACACAAGGAAATAAGGAATAATGAACGAAAACAAAAGTACGGTATTTAAATTTTTGTATTAGATATATTACACTAAATATTTTTCTCACCATATGCGGAGATTCCTTCAAGCCACTGTAGAGGCAATGTTAATATATAGTGCCACAGCCTGGATATTAGCTAAAAGAAACCCAAAAAGACTGAAAACTATTTATTTGCAGGTAAAATATGTCCCGGAGGATACCCAGTGTGTCAGTAATGACTATGGTAGACTCAGAAGCTGGGATATATGGAAAAAATCTTCTTTTTTTTTTTTTTTTAACAAAAATTCAGGAATTGCACTATACATGAAGTTAGCTTATGTACAAATATATATGGTATGTTTAAGTAAAGCTCAATAATAAAATAATAGTAATAATGTAAAGTGTATCAATTCAGAGTGTTTTGATAAATAAACAAGAATCAGTTTGAATAAAACTCATAATAAAAGTGACAATGAAGAGTGCATCAG